TAGACCAGAGGATGTACATTGGTACAGATAGCAACTGGAAACACAGGGAATCCAGGACAGATGATCCCTTCAGGACCAGTGGTGAGAGTGGCGATGCCTGGAGGGTGGAGGGAATGTGGGATGGAAAGGGGGAACCGATTACAAGAATCCACATATAGCCTCCTCCCTAGGGGATGGACAGCAGAGAAGAGGGCACGGGGTGGGGGTGGGGAGGACAGGGAACGTTGGACAGTGTAGCATATGACAAAATAACAATGATTTATGAATTATGAAGGGTTCATGGGGGGAGTAGGGGAGAGGGGGAAAATGAGGAGCTGATATTAAGGGCTCAAGTAGAAGGCATATGTTTTGAGAATGATGATGGCAACAAAAGTACATATGTGCTTGACACAATGGATATATGTACGGATTGTGGTAAGAATTGTAAGAGCCCACAATAAAATGATTTTTTTTTAAAATAAATTCACACTGAATGGAAATTTCCTGAGTTATTCTGGTAATCCAGTTAAAGACACGTGTTCCAAATTGTAGGACATTTATTTTCAACAGTAAGATAGAGGCAAAGCCATTATTGGAAACTTTCTATCTGCTCTGAAGGTTGAGCTACCCCCAAAAGCATGAAATTAATAAAATATGTCTTATTTTTTTAAAAATCAAGCACTGGAATCCCTATGAAGGACAGTTGTACTTTGACTCACATGGGGTCACCATAACTTGGAATGGACTTGATGAGAACTGATTTTGCTGTGTGTGTGTGTTTAATAAAGTACACTCACTAAATATGGTAGCCACTAAGATTTTAGTAGGAATTGGGCGTATTACCTATCATGCTTGTCCAGCAAGACCTTTGCAAGAGCGTGTCTCCTACAGTAGCAGAGGCAATACATGTTTTGGAGGAATGTTTAACAAAATCCCTTTGAAATGTTACAGCTGTATTCTAATGGTAACCAGTATACTCTTTATTTAAGGATATTAAAAAAGTTGATGAAGATATGGAACCTGTGACATATGCTACTGAAAAAAGTATTGGTTCAGTTCCTCCAAGCTCTGTGAATACCACGAAGTCAGGATTAAAGCCAGACTGTGATGGCAATTCTGAGAAACCCATGGAACATAAAGAGGTAATCATTCTACTGTCGTTAAGTTGCTCCTTGATGCTCAAAATGTTAGAATTCATTTATGATTGATACTACATAGCGATCCTATAGGACAGAGTAGAGCTACCTCCATGGGTTTCCGAGACTGTAACTCTTTACAGGAATAGAAATTCTCATCTTTCTCGTGCAGAGCGGCTGGTGATTTTGAACTGTAGACCTTGTGTTTGACAGCCCACTGCATAACCACTATGCCACCAGGCTCCTATACCCAACATAAGTCTGCCCCCAAATTTGTTGTAGTATTGCTGAGACACTCTAAGGAGGTCTCTAATAAACTTTCATTTATGTCGGAGGCTGTTATTGAGGCAAGAAGTCTCATGCGAATGTTACAAACTTACATCAACAGATAAATGGATAAATAATGAGCTATCCAGTCAGTATAACACTACTCAGCAAAAGAAGGAATAAACTAGTTAAATCTCCAAATCATTTGGCAGAACAAAAGCAGCAGCACCGAAAATGAAAGTACATACTGTTTGCTTCCATATAAATTCTAAGAAGTGCAAACTAATCTAAAGTGGCAGGAAGCCTATGAGCGGCTGCAGGAGGGAAGGAGTGGCAGCTAGGAAAGATTTACGCACGAAATCACAGAAAATAGGAGAACCTTTTGGAGCCATGGATTCATTACCTAGACTGTGGGGAGGGGCCCACCACTATATACTAATGTCCAGTTATCAAATTGCACCTTTTAAATATATGCAATTTGTTGCAATGAAAAGTATAACTCCATATAACTCTAAAAAACATCAAATAAAGTTTAAAATCCTTTAAGATAGTTTTTCTTTCTTTTCTTTAATATGTTTTTGTTTTATTGGCACATAATTCAATTCAATATAACACAATAGTTCAATCACATCGACAAGAGTTGTACAATCATCACCACAATCAGTTTTAGAACATTTTCTTCATTCTCCTTTTTATAAGCAGGTTGATTGGGACATGATGCATATATCATAAAATTCAATAATTCAATCATATCAAGGGGCAAACAATTAAGTGTAGAACATTTTCTTCTTTCCTGTACTCCTTGTTATAAGATCCTAATATCCCTTCTAACTGCTTAGCATTCATGTCTTTTTAGATCACGATCTCTTAGCACGGGCTCACAGCCTGCAGTTTCTTTAGGTTGCACAGAATCTGTCGTGATTTTACCGATTTTTTTTCTTATTTTGTCCCAGTCCATTTTATTCTTTACTATCTTGATAACAAGGGCCCCTGGTGGCATTGTTGCTTAGGCATTGAACAGCTAGTGGCAAGATCGACAGTTCAAACCCAACAGCAACTCCAAAGGTGAAAGATGAGGCTGTCTGCTCTCTAAGTGATTTCCAGTCTTGGAAACCCTATCTAGGGGTTGCTATGAGTCAGAATTGACCTGCTGGCTGTGGTTTTGGTATCTTCATAACAGTATTTAAGTGATACCTATTTTCCTAACCTGATATTATATTTTCACAGAGGCAAAAAAATAATTATTTTTAAATGATCTGTACAATACAAATTATCCTATAAAAGTCAGAATGTTCTGGAATTTTAAAAGACAATCTTTATAAGACAGTCCTTCTGCTTAAAAAAAAACAAACAAAAAAACACTCAAACTCACCACCATCGACTTGATTTCAGCTCACAGCAGCCCTGGGAAACAGAGTAGAACTGCGCCTGTCAGTGCTGGAGATGGTAAATCTTTATAGGAATGGAAAGCTTCAGCTTTCTTCAGAAGAGCAGCTGGTGGCTTAAAACTGCTCACCTCGGGGTTAGCAACCCAAAGTCTAACCCACTACACTGTCAGATCTCCTCCTGTTTGCTAGACTCCGTAATTTACTAGGACGTGCCAAGCCTCAGTTTGCTTAGGAGAATGCTGGACAATGAATTAAGACCAAAGAGGAATTCATATGATTACCGCGTATGAATTATGGTTCTGGGGAAGAAGGCTGGAAGTACCGTCAACTGGCAGAAGAACAAGTCTATCTTGGAAGAAGCCCAGCCAGATGCTCTTTAGAAAAGAGGAAGGCTCGAGGAGTTCAAGAACAAAGAAAATGTTTGGAAACTGACTGTGGTAACAATTGAACTATGGGATGCTATGATATTTGTAAGAGCTCCCAGTAAAAGGGTTTTTTACAAAAGAAGAAGAAAAGAAATGAGGATGGAAACACTCCATCTCACATATGTGGGACATTCTGTCAGGAATGACTGGTCCCTGGAGAAGGATAGTGTGTTTGGTAAACTACCGTATATACTCAAGTATAAGCCAAGTACCATAAATACTCAAGTTTTTCAGCATATTTTAATGCAGTTTTTGTGGTAAAATTAGTGCCTTGGCTGATATTCTGGTCGGTTTACACTCGAGTATATACGGTAGGTCATAGAAAGAGAAAGACCCTCCAGGAGATGGACTGAGATGGCGGCTGCCACAGTGGGCTCAAACATAGCAACCACTGTGAAGAGGGGCCAAGACCAGCCAGGCAGCGTGTCCTTCTATCGTACTGTACACATGAGCACGAGTCATTCCTGTGAGAAGGAATCAACTGGCCGCCCCTAACAACAACCCGAGGGGAACAATGAGATTAAGGAGGCGCACACTCCTTGAAATAATTGATCATTTGAGATGAAAGGGCAGCGTTTTCCCAAGGACTAAGTTCAGAAGGCAGAAGGGATTAGGACAGAAGGAACGGAAATGGGAAACACCGGAAGGAAGTGGGATAAGTGATATTACATCTTGGGTGTTGCGATCAGTGACATGAAATAAAATGTGTATGAATGGTGTTGCGATCAGTGACATGAAATAAAATGTGTATGAATGGTTGGGTGGAAAACTAATTTGTTCTCTAAACCTTAATCCACTTCACAAGTAAAAGTGGAAATAAATTGAAGCAATCAGGAAAAATATGGCTACTGTGTTGTGCAATATACATAAGCCTTCCTCTGTAATAAAATATAGGAGTCCTGCCCCTTGTGGCTTAGTGGTTACGCTTTGAGCTGTGATCTGAAAGGTCAGCAGTTCGAAAGCTCTAGCAGGTCTGTGGGAGAAAGATGGGGCTTTCCACTCCATAAAGAGTTACAGTCCCAGAAACCCACAGGAGCAGTTCTGCCATGTTCCACAGGGTCACTATGGCAGGATGGGCTCGACGGCAGTGAGTTTGGGTTGTTGTTTGGTATTGTTTCGGGTGGCTATTGGACTACAAACCATAAGGTCAGCAGTTTGCAACCACCAGCAGCTTCTCAGGAGAAAGAGCAGTCTTTCTACTCCAGCAAAGATTTACAGTCTCAGAAACCCAGAGGCCGTTCTCCTCGGTTCGACAGGGTTGCGCTGAGTCAAAATCAGCACAACGGCGGTGAGTTTTCCTCCGTAACGGGAGAAGCAGGGGCTTGCAGTTGAAGCCTCAGAAACCCACGGGGCATTCAAGCCCATCCTGTAGGGTTGCTGTGAATCCGAATAGACTTGATGTCAGTGAGTTTTTGCTTTTGTTTTTCCCTCTGTAATAATAACCTCAGCAGCAGCAATGGCTACTAACATTGTTAGCCGTTTACTAGATGCCCCAGCCTGCGTGGTGCAAATGGCTAACACACGAGGTGGTAAACCACAAAGTTAAACACTCTAGTCCACCCAGGGGAGCCAGAAAAAAAGGCCTGCCAATCTGCTTCAGAAAAAAACAGCCAACGAAGGCCTTCTGGACGCCAGTTCGACTTGGGCAGACCCGCAGTTATTGTGCGTTGGATTTGACTCAACCACAACGGGGCTTGTTTTAGTTTCTTCTGAAATGATGTGTGCTTGCTTTCCTTCACTTCTACTCAGAGTAGTTCTATGAAATAGGTATTACCCCCCCTTGGAAAGATGGTGAAGTCCTGACAACTGTTAAGTAATTTGCTGAGACTTTGCAATGATTTACTTGTAACTAGAAACTCTAAAAGAAATCCAATATCAGAACTACATCTATTTGAGATATTGATTCATATAGATATATGTATATATAAATATATTTCAGATATTAGATTCATTCACTTTAGAGTTTCCATCCAACAAATGCATAATCACTACGCCACCCCGGGGACTATATTTTATTACAGAGGAAGGCTTATATATATTGCACAAAACAAGTAGCCATCTTTCTTTCTGATTGCTTCAATTTACTTAAACTTCTCATTGTGAATTGGATTAAGGTTTGTAGGACAAGTTAGTTTTCCATCATATGTGTACATATGTAAGCGAATCATGAAACTCTGGACATTTTTCATGCTTGGAGTCTTAGAAATGCTTTTCCCTTGAGAGTTTTCTGTGCTTGGTTCCTTCCTGGATGGTGTCTTCTAGAAGGACTTTGCCCCCAGTTTAGAGGAGTAGAGAAAAATATCCTTGTCCAATTTATCTGGGCTTCTTGGTAGATTTGTTAATGATGTGTAAAATGTCCAAAGGGGGTAAACTGCACTTCGGAGTGCGGTTCTTTCATTGTGCGTGTTGACCTATAAGAAAATAATGTCTACTTTTACTCCGCCGCCAGTACACCACTTGAAGTTTTACATTATAACTCAATTCATAATTGGTTACCTTCTCTCCCCTCCATTGTGCTCTCACACTGTGGCTCTTAACCAAAATATTTTCTTTTCAGACAAGTCTTCCTGAAGTGTCTCTGCTAAAAATCATGAAATTAAATAAGCCAGAATGGACTTTGGTGGTTCTGGGGGCTTTGGCTTCTATTCTAAATGGAATTGTTCACCCAGTCTTCTCCATCATCTTCGCAAAAATTCTAACTGTAAGTAAAACTAATTTGCTAATATTTCTAGCAATTTTCAATAAAGCATAGCCTGGGAGAACAGATGTGTTGCACTGTAGCCCAATAAGGAAAAAATTGGGACTTTTAATGAGCCAGTGCTACTTTGGAGTCCATAACAGGAGGGTCAGGGAATGTTCGCCGGGGATAAGCCAGCATCTGCTGTGAAGTGTTCTGCAGGCCCCTGTTGACTGAACAATTAGGTTTGCTCATTTGACTCCAATGTTGTATCTGCATTCCAGAGTACTGAAGCAATTAAATACGCCAATAAAATTGCTCCCTTTGCAACTAGTCAGAACAATAGCAATGTTTTTTATTACCAACCAGCTCAGGGAGATGAATCACATGACTTGTCAATGTGCTGAAAGATCCTAGAGAGATGGTGGGTTCAAGGATCTTACTTGATTCATGCACTTTCCCCATTTGCAGAGTGACACCTTGTCTATTAGATGCCAATAGGTATACCATTGCTCAAGATAGAGACCATTTCTCTGGACATGTGTATAATTCTCACCCTGTGAATAATACTCTAAATAAAGGAAGATTCAGAAACTTGACCAATGATTAAAAATAACAATTCACACAAACGGAAGATTTCTTAGAAAATATACCAATAATAATATAGCAGACAAAGGTCCTGCAGGCCTGATCCCATATTTATGTAGTAAGTGGTGGAAGTAAAGGTAAATGTATTTATCACATGTAAGGAATATAGACAATGGAACAGTGACACACAGTTTCCCCTGGCCCCAGCCCCACTCCACCCCCACAAACAGGTATATAACCTCCATTCTTATATTCAGATTCATGAGGTAGGGGAGGGTGTGTGTCAGATGATTATACATTTTGGTTTGCTTTTTTGTTTTTTCTTTGTGTGTCTTTTATATTTTTCACCAACTCCCTGGTTGAAAAGAAAAATAAAATGTTCCTTTTCAGATCTTTGGGAAGAATGATACAACCACATTAAAGCAGGAGGCCGAGGTTTATTCCATGATATTTGTCATTTTGGGGGCTGTTTGCTTTGTCAGTTATTTCATGCAGGTAAGCTACTAATAAACAGAACAAGCCTAGGCATGGCTACATTTTTATGTCCTCCCCTCTATTTGTTGAAAATATAATGCCTAAATGTTAAAAAGTAAATCTAGTTAAGAATAAACACATGTTTTCTCTCCCCCTCCTGACCTCAGGGGTTGTTTTACGGCAGAGCAGGAGAAATATTAACAATGAGATTAAGACGCTTGGCATTCAAAGCCATGTTATACCAGGTTAGTGTGGTGTATTTCTTTTATTTTATTTAAAATGTGCTCTAAAATAGTCTAGCTTGTAGTTGTTCCTTTTTTTTTTATTGCCTCAAGTTGATTAGTTGATTTGTTAGCATCATCTTTCTTCTGATCATCTAAAAACATGCTTTTTGTGTTCTGAGCTAGCGAGAAAAATCCACCCTCAGGATTCTTATAGTCTACTTTTATTTGGAGCAAGCCCCAAATTGTTATGTGCCAAATAACATTCTCGTTGGGGGGCTCACTCCTTGTTTCTGGCATTTATTTCAACAAATCTTTCTTTGTATGTGCACTGCAAGGCAGTAAGGTCAAAATCCGAGAACAAGTGAAAACTGAGAAAAGTTGAAACACCGCACTCCCTCGGGAATGCCCCAGAAGAAGAGTTGCTCGTTTCTCTTGCTCTCGTTCATGCTCACGGCTGACCTCCTTCCTCTGCAGCATTTGCAAAGCACCCCGTTTCTCTGCCCTGGTCGAAAGCGTCCTGAACTCAGCATCAGTCTAGCTGGCAGGAACACACCTGCCTCACACAGGAGCTCAATCACACCTGTGAAATAACTAAACCTAAGTGGATCAAGCAGTAATCTTGCAAAGCGAGTCTTGGGGACAAATGGCAGGCATGTCTCCGATTGGCACCTCTAAACTTCTTTCTTGAGGGCTGAGGTGGATTGGGTTCCCCTGAAAGCTAGTAATCATGGGAGACCTTCGCCTCCCTTTCTGTCACCAAAGCTCACCGTGCAGGAGTAAATAGCTTCCTGCCAGAGTAATTTCTTTTCAAAACTAGAGTTACTGTCACTCCAGCTGAGTCGTCAGAGCCAGTTCTTACATCTTGGGACTTTAGGAGCAGTGCTCCAGAGGGGAGTGTGTCCTGAAACTCCTCAGCTTTGTCCTCTTAAAACGACAGGATTCAAACTGCAGCCAAAGAAGGTAGTGGTTTCTCATAGCAACTCCGTGTTCTGGGACAGCTGCTGCCCGCCCTTCCACTCTCTGCTCAAAAGCATACTGTCTCCCCTCTGCGTCTTCCTTTGGATAGGCTCCTTAATCGGGGAGGGAGCGGGTGAGCCTGGGGGACCTGAAACACCTTAATGCCACAGCGTACTGTGGTTTTTGTTTTACTTTTAAACACCTTCTGTTTTTAACCTCAAGTATTTCCTAGGGGAAGATGAGGTTTTAGTGAACTAGTATTACATAATCACACATACTGACAATTTCTACCAGTTGTTTGTTGTTGTATTCTGTGGGAATTGATGGTCATTGCTCCCTATTCAAAGAAAATCATTTGATTGTCTTTATTTGTATTGTATACAAATGCTCCCTGCATAGCAGAATGTTCTATACAGAGAAGGATACATTTTGATTTCTCCAAGCATTGCTTTTAACTTCCCATCTGTTCACAGTCTTCTCAAAGCCAAGAGCCAGTTTCACCAGTGGAACCACTTTTAATCCAGTATGCTAATGGGTAACATTAAACCTTAATCCTCTGCCTAGCCTTAACCATGTGACTGCCAGGACACGCTTGGATAAAGGAGATTCTGACCCAAAGGATTCACTACTCCTTACCCCATATATGGACTCCGGTTCTCCAAAAAGCAGGCACACACTTCAGGAGTCAAACCCAGACCAAACACACAGCCACTGCATCAAGGCTGACCCACAGTGCCCCTTCAGGGCAGGGTCGAAGCGGCCCTGAGGGCATCCGAGACTGTCACTCTGGACAGGAGTAGAAAGCCTGGTCTACCGCATGAGGGACAGCTGGTAGTTTCAAACTACTTGCTGGCTTGGTGGGTAGCAGCCCAACATGGAACCACTAAGCTGCCCGGGCTCCTTCCTTCCAAGGTCTTGTATGAGGGTAATTAACGGATGCTCTGAAATGCCCCTTCAGCTCACTGGCTGTCTTCCCTCGTCATCGTCCACAGCCTTTCCGCCTCTTGCTTACCTCTGCCTTTTTACAATCAGAGGAGTGCCTTTGGCAAAGAGCAGTCCTTCCGGTCTTTCTAAGTGCTTTCACGGCTGTGCTTTGGTTCACAGTAAGGAAAGCTACTGTGGGATTTACCTCTTACCGTTGGATTTTCGCCCTCGGATAAGATGTTTTAAGGCTTCGAAAATGTGCTGAGGCCTGCAGCGCTTTTTATAACCATTTGAACCCTCTTTTGAAGTAGAGGTATTTATGGAATCAGGTGTGGTCTTTTTATAGGGATAAAATGTGAATGTTATTTGATGACTTGTGATCCTCCGAGATGAAGATTTATCCCAGAAGAAAAGAATGTTCAAATCGCCACTGTAAATAGCGTGGGACCTGCGAGAGCCGGAATTCGGCCTGCCTGCTTTGTTCTCCAGGGTCTCCGACGCTGCAGGCCTTGGACAGGGTGCAGACTTACTTTTCTACCGTTCCTTCTTAATGGAAAATGTTTTGAGTTTTTCTTCTCTGACAAGTTTCTGCCTTACCCAGATTCCAGTTTGCACCAGTTTTACGTGACTCAATACTGGTTATGCTTCAAACGTCAATCTGTATTTCTGAACAATAAATATTGACCTACATAGCCACTGCGATTTTGAACAGAAAGGGGACTTAGTTTTGCGCATTTTCCTCCAGTGTAAATTAATTAGGGCTTCTGTGAGGGCCTTCAAGTCAGAGGGAGATACCATTGATAGTGATCAATGGGGGCCTGAAAAGTACCTAAACTACTTTCCAATGGATATGGGGTGGCAAGTCTCTAAGTGGAAAAAAAGGGTAATTAATGAAAACTCAGTCAGAGGGCTGGCGGAACAGGAAAAGTGATGGAAACCCTGGCATTTGGCGATGCTGTTCTCAGGACTTGCCAGCAACGTGGCCTCAGGCAAGTTCCTTAATCTCCCTGTACCTTGGTTCTCTTGTTTGTAAAAGATGAATAATCATAGTGTCTACCCCATAAAATTGTTCTGATAATGAAATGAACAAAGGCGACATATGCCAAGCACTTATCACGGTGCCTGGCACATTGTTTTAAAAAAATGCTTTGCCATCAAGTCCGCTCTGACCCACAATGACCCCAGCTGTGCCCGAGGGGAACGGCGATCCACAGGATCTCGATGGCTGTGGCCTTTTGGAAGTAGATTGCTAGGTGCTTCTTCCTCGGTGCCTTTGGGCGGGTTCAAACTACCAACCTTTCAAGTTAATAGCCAAGTGCTTAATGATTGGGACCACCCAGGGTCTCCTGACACAAAATGGTCCTACAATAAAGGTCAGCTACTTTTTTTTTTTCTTTAGAGTTACAATATTGAAGGAGCCCATGAGCAAACTATTGACTGGTGAAAGAAGCATCCAAAGAAGATGTAAAGAACACACAGTCATTGTTCTGAAAATAATCAGGACTCACCCATTTCAATAGGTAGCATGTGATCAAGAAACCATGCTGCAGAAAGAAGTCCAAGCTGCATTAGTGACATTCGGAATGTAAATATAGCTATCGGGCTCCAGCAAATGCGAGAGCACCAATTGACATGTCTCAGAAAGCTGGCGCAGTACTGAACACACTCACTAGTCTATGGCAAAGATTTTGAAAGACACACCTGGCCAAACATCTGGAAGAGATCTATATTTGTGCTTATATCAAAGAAAGCGAACCCAACTGAATGTGGAGCGTATCAAACAATATCGTTGATATCAAGTGCAAGTAAAATTTTGCTGAGGAAAATTTTTAAAAACCACTTTCAGAAGTGCATTGATAGGAGCTGCCAGAAACTCATGCCAGATTCTAAAGATGACGTAAAGCAAGTGATATCATTGCTGATGTCACATGGATCTTGGCTAAAAGCAGAGAACATCTAAAAGATGTTTCCTTGTGTCTTATTGACTATGCAAAGGCACTCACTGTGTGGACTATAACTATCTATGGAGGACATCAAGAAAAGTGGGATCGGAACACTGTGCTCATGCCAAACCTTTACAAGGACCAGGAGGCAGTTGTTTGAGCAGAACAAGAAGATACTGCATGGTTGAAAATTAGAAAAGGTGTGCATTGGGATTGAATATTCTCACCTTGCTCACTCAGTCAGTATGTTGAGCAAATAAGAGAAGAAGCTGGACTATGTAAAGAAGAATGCAGCATCAAGATTCAACTTATTAACAACCTGCAATATGCAGATGATACAACCTTGCTGGCCCCAAACAAGCAGGACCAGAAGTCCTTGCTGATGAAGATCAAAGACTGCAGTGGTCAGTAGAGATAACAAGTCAATGTCAAACAAACAAACAAAGAAGATTCTCACAACTGGGGCAACAGAGAGCATCATGGAGAAAAGATTGAGCTTGTCAATTATTTCCTTTTACTTGAACCCACAGTTGGAATTCATGGAAGCAGCAGGGAAGAAATCAAGCAAAAGATTGCATTGGGCACAAGAGCTCTTCAGTGTGGTGAAGAGGAAAGATATCGCTTCAAAGACCAAGGTGTGCCTGACCCAAGTCATGGTATGCCCCATGACCTCGTGTGCAACTGAAAGCTGTACATTAAATACGGAAGACTGAAGAAGTGTGAAGGCCTGTGAGTTATGCTGTTTGGGGAGAATATTGGAAGTACCATGAACTGCAAAAAAAGCCCGAAACAAATATGTGCCAGAAAAAGGACAGCGATATGTGCCATAAAGGCAAGGATGACAAGATTTCATCTCACACACTTTGGACATATTATCAGGAGAGGCCAGTCCCTAGAAAAGGACAACATGCTTAGAAAAGTAGAGGGTCAACGAAGAAGAGGAAGACCTTTGATGAGATGGGTTGACCGTGGTTACAGCAATGGGCACAAAGACAACAACAGTAGTGAGGATGCCTCAGGACTAGGTGGCTTCTTTCTGGTGTGCCTCGAGTCACAGAGAGTCAGAGTCAACTCAACGGTGCCTAACAACAAAACAGATGTTTTTCTTCCGGTAACATTGTTTACTAGTATCAAACGTCTTATAGTATTGAAAAGCAAGGAGAGCTAAGGTGTGCCTTCCACAAACCAAGGTATTTTTCAGTGCCTCAGATGCATGTGAAAGTTGAATAAGGAAAACTGAAGAAGATGGGATACACTTGAATTACTGTGCGGGCAAAGAATATTGAAAGTACCAAAAGAATAAACAAATCTGTCTTGGAAGTAGTATGGCCAAAGTTCTCCTAAAAAGCGAGATTGGAAAAACATGGTCTTACATAGGAGGGGTAACCCCCCCAAAATGGATTTTTTTTTCAAAGCTATGTTTTGTTTATTTTTACAAAACAACCTTATCACCTTCAAAGTGGTACTCTCCATTAAATGTACACTCTCCAGTACACATAATGCATTTATCAAATCTGCAATTCCAGTCTTGGAGACATTTTTCAAACTCATCTGTTTAGATGGCTCACAGCACCTCCCTGGTTTTTTTTGTCACTTCTTCTGCATCATCAAATCACTGTCTTTTCGTGTCCCTCTTCATTTGAAGAAACAAAAAGGAGCGAGGTCAGGTGAGAAAGGTGTGAGGAACAAGAGAGGCATGATTTTTTTTGCCCAAAACTGGCACACTGAGATGGCTGCGTGAGCAGGTGCATCGTCATAGTGGCAAAACCAGTCTGCCGTCTGCCCCAAATCAGGCCTGATTTTGTTGCACACTGTTACTGATAACTTCCCCGTCTCTTCAATGGTCCGTTGTTGGTCTTTGAGCACAAGTGCACTATTCTTTTGTTTTGTTTTGTCGACATTTTCATCCATTCAGGAAATTGACAGACCTCAGAATAAGGTTTGTCATTAATCAACATTGCACCTCTTTTGAAATGAGAAAACCACTCATACACTTGAGTTTTTCCCATCGCACTGTCATTGTAAGCTGTGTTCAACATCACAACAGTTTCTGTGACATTTTTCCAGAGCAGGAAACAAAATTCCAGAGTCACTCACTATTCTTTTAAATCCTCCAGCATAAAAGACTGAGGTTTGAGCGAAACTGCTTTTATGAAAAAATTCACTGTGACTGAAGAGAACCTTCCTAGGCAATGCCACTTGGTGCCCTGACTCAGAGCGAGTTGCTCGATGCTCATCTGGGGGAGGGAAGTGGATGTATACTACGAAAGCTCTGCTCTGCTCAGCGCAGTGCTGGAGTTTGGGGGTACCCCCCTCATACTTTGGACACATTGTCCAGAGAGACCAATCCCTGGAGAAGCCCATCATGCTTGGTAAAGAAGAGGGGCAGTGAAGGAGAGGAAGATGGGTTGACAACAATGGGCTCAAACATAAGAACAACTGTGAAGAGGGTTGCAGGAAAGGGCAGTGGTTTGTTCTGTTGTCTGCAGGGTCCCTATGAGTTGGAACTGACTTGAAGGCACCCAAGGGCACCTAACAACAACAACAACAACATAGTAGCTGAAATTTCTTCGTGCATCCCAGCATCTAGAAACAATTTGTAAGTGTAGGGCATGTCTTCGTTGTTTAAATTGTACAATAAAAAATAGGTCATGCCTTTCACGTTGAGTGCCCCGGTTATTACCATTGCTGATGTGTGTGCACAATATGTTAGGCTCTGATTACTGTGGTGGTTTCGAAGGTGACTACTGTGCAGTACAAGTCAAGATCTCTACTGGATGCTCTTTGGGCATGTAGCACCCAAAGCTCATCAGGATACAACCTCAACCCAGCGGCTACAGAATAGTGCTTTGACACTGGGATCGTACCCTCCCTGCCTCCTGCCATATCCTCCAAGGGAGCTATCTTCTCATGCAACTGTCAGATTACTGTACACTCCTATTCGGTTAGGCCTTTGGCAGCCTGTTGGCAGCACTGTGTAGCCTGGCCCTCAGGACGCTGCCTGATTGTTGTAAGCCAACAATTCTTGTTGTTTTTCACTCACTAGAAAGAACACGGATTTCAGTGACTTTCTCTATGAAATTTTCATCGATAAGAACTACAAGTGGTTTGAGTGGGTGGGAGGAAGCATTTAATAGTTCATAAAAGGAAAGCAAGATTCCTCTGTTGAAGAAGGACTAAGAAATGCTGGTTCCATTTGCTATTGAAAGTGAAATTGGCTTTTCCTCCTTTTAATTCTGATCTGTCTCAGAATGCATAGTTCTTGGCTGCAGGGCTTTTACAGCCTTCTACCTTTTTAGCCTCACAATGAACAGTGCTCGGCTCCAGAAAGTGCCACTGACTTCCTGGCTCTCCGGGGTGAGCGCCTGAACCAACCGGGCTTGGCGTGGAGGCCTCTCCCTGATGCAGACTTGGCCACAGGTGGTTCAATGGTTTGATTTTGCAGCATTCGTTATGCTGTAAGATCCAGGGAGCCATAGGGAAGTGTCCGTAAAAACCTTGCTTCCCTGAATCCCAAAAACAATGGGAGAGAGTTTTTTATACTTTGTCCATTTAGGTAGAAAGATGTCGGTCTTTCTAAATTGTGAGATGCTTCGCTTTACTTTAGAAATAGATTCTGCAGTTCACCATCTAAGCATGACTTTATGGTTTGAAATTGCTGCCTTGAACATCAAGCATGATGTAGCCTGATAATGTGTTCAGGTCTTCAGACTGTAGCTACATATAGAGTCTTATGATTTAAGAAGGAAGTCATCTCATCCATCCATAGCTGTGTATAAAGGAGGTGGATAAAGACCTTCAACTTAACTACTGCAGAGCCACAAATCAGAGAAGGCTCCTTTTTTGCTAATCATATGTTAATTTCCTTCTTTACCTAGGATCTGTCCTGGTTTGATGACAAAGAAAACAACACGGGGGCCTTGACAACAATATTAGCCGTGGATATAGCCCAGATTCAAGGAGTATGTATTTTGTTTTTATTTACAAGAGGTGTGGGTGTGTGGCATATGTAGAAACACGTGTGCACGTGTGTCTGTGCATCTATGTGAGCTACGACGAGATGGCCACATCATTAAACAGAACAGCTCCGCCTCAAAGCTAGCAGGGAATTACCAGTGAAAGATACAAAGAAGCCTTTCAATTCTGGACAGAAATAAAGAGGGGCGGCTAATGAGAGGACTGAAGAAGATGTCAAGGATGAGTTAGAGAATTGAGCTCAGGATTCAAGAGACAAACATGAAACTGGACGGAAAGGAAAACATGCAAGTCAGAATTTTTATGAGGATAAAATTGGTTCCCATTGAGTCAATTCCAACTCATGGTAACTCCCCATGTGTCAGAGTTAAACCGTGTTCCAGAGCATGTTCATTGGCTAATTTTTTGGAAGGAGATGACCAGACCTTTCTTCCAAGTTACATGGACTCAGACCTCCACCCTTCCAGCTAGCAGCCAAGCAGTGTAACTGTTGGTGCCACCCTGAGATTCCCTCTCCCCAGAAACCAAATCTAATTTAAAAGAATGCTTAAACGTTCAGATTCATGTGTGCATCTGGAAATGATGCAGTGCTGGGGAATAGATCAAGTTAGACAGAGGTGTGCAGTCGGGCCCATCGCATACGTGTAAGCAAAACGCATCTGCATCATATTCAAACTCGGTTCCAGAACGACCAGCAAAGTAAATGCCAAGGTTGTACTTCCACAAGTGTAGGGATTCGCCAGCTGTGGGAGACATGAAGAGTACTTCGTGGATTTTCTTACAATTCTTTTAATAAAATTTCATTTTGTGTAAGAAATGGGATTTCAACTCCAAGGGGAGGAGTGCAAAAGCAAGATCAGCAAAAACTGCTTTTCTACTTTTCATTTAAATGAGGAGAAACCCGCAAATGCTTCATGAGAACAAGCGCTCTAGCGGCGCTCAGGCCCTCTCACTGTTGCTTTTGTGCATGAGGGCGACAAGACAGAATCATGGCCTTCTTCTGAATGGCAAGATCTTTTACAAGGATTGCTCTGCTTAGGAATCCCCCAGTGTTGATCACAGAGTTAGGACCAGAGTAGCAAACTATGTAACAAAACCCATCTGAATTGCATGTTTCTTTGAAAGGTTTTTTCCCCTATAGAGCATGGCAATTATTCAAACTTGGGGAACTTTCTCAAGAATCACTTGTTCAATATACATATATACAAGGGCACATTTCTATGAGCAGAGATGCAAACAATTTGATACAGTTGAAATACTGACACGCATCCATATTGGTTTGGGGAAACGTTTTATGGTACAGAAAGCATTCCAGGAGAAAAGAGCTTTTCTTTCTTTTTTTTTCAACTCTCCTCTCGGGACTCTTTCTCTTTATTTTGAAGTTAAGACTTTAGAATTTTATTAGATAGTACTCACATTTTTAAATAGGTCTAAGGAGCTTGGTTTTGCTAGCATAAATATGAGTGAAATGATGGAGAAAATTCTACCTACTACACCTATTCCTCAGATATCAGCTATCTCATTATTGGACATTTTGTGCTCAGCACAGGAGTAAAAATCTTTCTGGCTGCTTTGCCTGTGAAAATTGTATGGGACCAGCATCTTCCTTCCTCTGATTTGAGCAGGGGAAAGGCAAAACAAACTCAACATCAGCCCAAGGTTGATTTCTCTGAGGCAGAGGTCAGACGTGCCTCTACCCTCTGGCCTTCTTTACCAATTCAGATGCCAGCCATCCCTCTCATGGCACTCGCTGGGCTCGACAGTCCATTTCCAGGCCACACAGAACTCAGAAATAATATTCACAGTCACAAGGTTTAGTAGGGAAGTTAACAGTTTACAATTCAAAAACAGAAAATCTAAGGATACAGTTCTTTAGGTAAAGAGCACCTCTTCTCACCCATACCACAGTCAGGCCTATCAGGGGTCCTCGGTTGCTCAGCCACAACCTGCCCAGGCAAGTGTTACAGAGCTCCTTTAGTGTTGTCGATAAATGCCCATGAAGCACTCCTTCCACCATAATCCTCAGCTCAAAGGTGCTAGGCTCCAATTCCATGGGTTAGCAAACTTAACTCCCCCAAAGAAGTGCCCGAAAGTACCCAAGCACAAGCAAACCTCTCGCTCAAAGGCACTCAATTGTACTTGCTTTTTGTGCTGTGAAGAGGACTGCTGGCTCATGCTTGCTCTTGGTTCCGTGGCCTCTGCTACAGCTGCTCCTCTGCCGTGCCTCTGCCCCTCCTCTGGGGTCACAGCTCCCTCCCCTGGATCAAGGAGGTTCGGCACTCAGGGATCTCAGAGTCCAAAGGACCTGACTCTTCTCCTGACTCATCTTTCTTAATGATTGTCAGATGCCCTCCTTCCTGCTTCTGAGATGACTGCTGTGGTGGAATTCAGCTGGCTTCCACCAGTTTGGCAGAAGTGATACCAATTTTTGGTTGAGCTCAGGGAACCAGTTGTTAAAATGGCCATTGTAATCAGGGTTCTCTCAAAGATGGGTGGATGGAGCTGCCCAATGTGGAAATCACAATTTTATATCCCTTGCTCTTCTTGTTTTGCTTCGGTTTCCTGCCTTTTCTTTCCCAAGAGTTTTATTGGCAAGTAATTTACATACCTTAAAATTCACTAGCTCAGTCATTCAGTCATATCAAGGAGAGTTGTACAATCACCCCCACATCAATTTTAGAGCATCCCACCCCCACCCCCCATGGTTAAATTGCCTTTAAGATGAGTTATGCAATCACAGTCAGTTCTGTGCTCCCTCCCCCTTCCAGCCTTTATTAGTTACTCCTGAAATCTCCTTTCCCTCCCCATCACCCACCATTCCCCACCCCTGCATGCCCTACACCCCCTTGTATCAGTTATTGTCATTATGCATCCACTCCTCCTGTGCTTCACAGCTGGGAGGCCCAATGGAAAACAATAACAAACAAAATCACACTAAGGTGGTAAGGATAAAAACATAATAGTATCCAGACAAAAATACAAATAATGTGTACAAAGGAAAAGAGCCCCAACAACATTCAAAAAGCTAGGGGAAAAGTTTCTGTCATGGAACCTGAGTTAGTTAATGGTGCCAACCTGGCCGAAAATCACATATGGGGCTAATTGAAAGGCAGAGGGATAAATGGGTGGTGAGCCTCCCCTTTCTAGTTCTCGGGTCTCTTGCTTTGTGATGGTCGCACCAGGGTGCAGCTGCCTTAGCAGTTCCCTGCTTCAGCTTGCGAGATTGACTTCCTACAAGACATCCCCAAGGAGAAGCCACATGGACCTATCCCAATGCAGCCCTGGGTGCTGGAGCAGCCATGTGGAGACCCCTGCTAGTGCTGACATGCTTATTTGTTCACTGACTCAGCTTTCCTCCTGCAGTCGGCATCATTGCCTCTGTTTTGTGAGGTGGAGGACTTTGTGGACTGGTGTTGGGTTAATGGGTTAATGTTGGACTTGTGGGCTTGGGAAGCATTGGGTTGGGATGTTTCCGTGATGCACACTTTCTTTACATAAAACTCTCTTATACATGAGTTGCTGTGGATTTGTTTCTCTAAAGTACCTAGACTAATACAGAACCAGTAAGCGAGACTTGCACCCAGAACAGATTCGGGTCCTGTCTATAGGGTGGTCAACTGGCCAAGTATCAAGTTCAATCCAGCACAATCAGGATGACAATGATCTTTGCCAGACATCCTTACTCTTTTTTGATGCTCATCTGTGCAGCAATGTATTCTAAGCACCCATAGAAATGTGCACTCTGTCCATATTCCTGTTGGCTCCCATCAAGTCAGCTCCGGCCCACAGCGACCCTATGCACAACAGCCTGAAGCACTGCATGGTCCTGCGCCACCCTCACGGTTGCTCCTACGCCTGAGCCCGTGCTGCAGCCACTGTGTCAATCCATCTCCTTGAGGCCGTTCCTCTTTCGCTGCCCCTCTACTTTATCAAGCGTGCTGTCCTTCTCCAGGGACTGGTCTCTCCTGACAGCATGTGCAAAGTCTGTAAGACAAAGTTTCACCATCCTTTCCTCTAACAAGTTCTGTGGCCAAACTTTTTCCAAGATAGCTCCGTTTGTCCTTTTAGCAGTCCAGATTATCCTCAATATTCTTCTCCAGCGCCAAAATAGAGACTACCATGGTTGGAGTCAGGTGCACGTTAGTCCCCAAAGTAACATCCTTGCTCTTCAATACTCTAAAGAGGTCTCGTGCAGCAGATTTGCCTAATGAAATACGTCTTTTGATCTCTTGACTGCTCATTCCATGAGCGTTGATTGTGGATCAAAGCAAGACAAAATCCTTGATAATTTCAAATTTTCCTCCATTTATGATGCTACCTATTGGTCCAGTGGTGAAAATGTGGGTCTTCCTTACACTGAGTTATAATCCAGACTGAAGGCTTGACCTTCATCAGCAAGTGCTTTAAGTCCTCCTCACATTCAGCAAGCAAGCTTGAGCCATCTGCCTATTGAAGGCTGTTAATAAACTTTCCTCCACTCCTGACTCATCCTTCTTCGTCATAGAATCCAGCTTCTCTGGTCATTTGCTCAGCAGACAGTTTGAACAAGTATGGTGAGAGGACACAACCCGGATGCACACCTTTCCTGATTTTCAACCGTGCAGTGTGTTCTTGTTCGTTCACACAACTGCCTCTTGATCCATGTACAAGTTGCTCTTGAGCATAATGAAGTGTTCTAGAATTCCCATTCTTCTCAAGGTTATCTGAAGTTTATTGTGGTCCGCACAATAAAATACCTTTGCAGTGTCAATGAAGCACAAGTAAACGTCTTTCTGGTCTTCTCTGCTTTAAGCCGAGATCCATCTGACATCAGCAGTGACATCCCTTGTTCCATGTCAGAATCTGACCTGAACTTCTGGCAGTTCCCTGACAATGTCCTGCTGCAATGGTTGTGGTAATCTTAAGCAAAATTTTACTTGTGTGGGATATCGGTGATATTGTTCTAAGGCTCAAGCATTCTATTGGGTCACCTTTTTTGGGAATGGGC